TCATGGATATCAAACATTTGGAGAGAAATACAACATTGTAAATAATGTGCCATACACGATTTAAAAAATTAACAACAAAATTTCTGATATCCGTACTCAAGCTCAATCTCATTTCGACGACCTTTTTTAATTCAAACTATTAATTCTGTAAGATCAGACAGTCAATGTTTGAAAAATTCAGATTCAAAGGATATAAAGAGAAGAAAAGTAAAACTTTGTCATCTATGGAAGAAGATGTGTGCACTCTATATTTAGAAGCTCGCTGATCTGGGCGCTCTTATCATAGTTTATCATTGGAGTAGAATTCAGATAAAGATATCGAAATTAAATCTAATCCATGCTTCGTGCCTAGATTGTAATATCTCAATGGAATACATGATACCCAACATGATGTATAACATACGAACCTCAATCAAATCAAGGACCAATGGTTTCTTTCTTGAATATCAATCTAACATTTATATATTCAGATCTGCTCTAATCCGTCCTGATTGCACGGAGAGGGAGAGAGAATATTCAAATGCGGTTTTTGTTCCAGGATGTTTCTTAAGAGAAGCATAGATTCAAGACAAATATTAGAAGTACAATCAAACCATAGATTCAAGACAAATATTAGAAGTACAATCAAACCATAGATTCAAGACAAATATTAGAAGAACAATTAAACCATTGCACAAAAATTGCATAAAGAAAGTTCTTTTATGAAGCAATAATAATAAAAAAATCTAAATGGTTCTGACCACTCGCCTCCAATTCTAATAACATGATGTTGTGGACATTTCATTTTTCATGCTTAAAATTAAGTCGCAAAGATGTATAGGTATTAGAATATGTATATATTACAGTTGAAGCTAAGTGTTCAATTTTATACGAAATATTTATTGTTAAAATCAGAGAATGATCCTAAAACTTCATTGTGGCAATCCCAGGGGGCGGAAACGTCATGTGTGTGTGTCTGTACCAAAAGATTGTGTGTAAGTGATAATGAACCGAAGGCGTGTACTGTAGGTGTATACAGTACATAAGAATCTTGGTATTTGTACAGTCTAGGAGAGTACATTTGTTTATTGTTAATTGTTTACTTAAAAATAAGTTTTGTATACATGTAGTATATTATTTAAATATTTAAGTCAACACTATATAAGCCAAATATTAATGCAAAGAATATAATTTGATTAAGGTTTACAATAAACTACTCGTTATTAAAGCTTAATTATAATAATTACATTGATCTGCAATTTCCTTGATTGTAGTCATGTTGGGTGTCTGTACCAAAAGAGTGTGCGTGTGTAATAACGAACTCGTCTGCGAAGCATTGCGACTGGCTTTCTCATGCCAGACCAGCGCCATTTCCCATCCCTTTATTCTTATTCCCTGGGCTAAACCTGTATGTTTACCTATTTATATGTATGCCATGGGGTTTTTTAGGGGGGGAGGAGGGGTACATAAAGTTAAACCTTTTTGTTTATATATCTTTGTATTGTTAATGCAATGTTTGCGTGTCTACGTGTTTGCGCCTGTGTTTTCTCTGTGTTTGTGTATGACCTGAGGGTAGATGTGAGTTATATATTACATATTCAGGTTACAGACTTCTTAATTCTCCTTCCAGGCGTTAATATCACTCAATGTTTCTACTTTTTAACTCTCAACAGGGTGGAACAGGGTGGGAGCAAGATTAAATCGATTTTAGTGTTTTAGGTTTTGTTAAATATTACAAAATTGTACAGTTGTCTGCAATCACTCTATTTATATAATCTCTATATGTAAGAAACCTGATTGCATAAAACTTTGATATTTCTAACTATTTGACCTAGCAGAATTCATAGTTTACGAGATCAGAATGCCAAGATATAAGAATCAGAAAATTTGAAATCCGATATGGGAAAAATCAATTTAGAATTACACCGGTTGTTTCTACATATATATATCTGAATAGAAATTTGGATTTTCTGTCTATTTGTTTGTGTGAATCCAAAAACAGTTATTATGACTGAACCGATCGGGCACAAATTTTCATGACATTACCTTAAAAACAATTTTTACAAGGAAACAAACGCCAAAAGTTTTTTGTACTTCAATGAAAAAAATAACGGCTTTAACAACAACAATTTAAATGTAGGGGCCCTTAAAAATGGATAAGCTAGAAGATGAGCTCGGACAATATTACATTATTGTTTACTATTAAAAACGTTTAAAAACGTAAAAAAAGTGTTGTTTTCTGTTTTACTTGAGTTTCTTTACTTAAGTTTCATAAAATAATGAAGTCTTTGCCACAAACTCTAATTTTCTTATCCCTATATCTTTGAAACCAAATGTCATGTACCTTAGACATTTTAAACTATGAATTCTGTTAGATAAAATCATCTGATTTTAAAATATAAAAGGTTTTTCATAATAAGGTTGCAAATATATACAGATATTTGAGTTTGTGGCAAAGACTTAATTTCTTTAAATTGAGATTTAGAGGCTCAGTTTCTTATGCTTTCTATCGTTCTTCTAACAATTTTTAAAATCATTTTTTGTCTTTCAAATAAATGATACTTTCTAACATTTTATTATTAAATACATGCTTACACGGCTATAGGTAACGTGACAAGGGGAGGTAAAAATTTAACAAACAAAAACAATATTTTTTTTTAACAATGCGGAGCTAAAAACCCTAATACGGTCTCAAGAACGGAGCTAGGGTTTAGGGTTGAACCCGGAGAACCCCATCCTGGTTCTCAGACCATACGGAGTAGGTTCTATCTCCGGGAGGGGGTTGAGCCCAGTAAGTGATCACAGCCACGGGTTTATACAATAAAATAAAACAAAATTTACAAATCCGAACAGAATTTTTTCGAATTAGAGAATTAGCAACGCTGTAAAAAATGCGCGCTTTTTTACCCAGGGTAAACAACGACATGCCGCGTACAGTAGTTTGACGTACAGTACATGCAGTTTAATGCTGGATACTTGTTATTGACTGGATGTGCATACCGGGATGAAAATAAAAGAAAGAAGATTATAAACGACGTGGCGAGAACAAACTTTGGTTTTGAAAAAACACATCTAAATATTAATTAATAATATGCCTAGGTATATAATATATAGTATGATCAATAAATTAACAAGGCCGGTGTGCAATAAAAATTAATTTACTTGCACATAAGCGGCCGGATTTAGTTGGGGGTTTTCAGTGCGAGTTTAAGATTCCTTTTTCTAGTAAACATTTACTAGAATGTTTTGGATTTATTTAAATAATGAAATATAAGATCCCATGATTTATCAGGGCGAAATTAAAGTGAATTTAAATAATGAAGTTTACTCGTTTAAATCCTACTTAACGGGCAGAATTAAATATAATATATTTTGGCACAAATTTTTCAGGATAGCAATCCTTTCATTGCAATCCTTCGAAAGCAGGCATAATAAGGATTAAAATCCGTTTTCTGGATTCAATATTTTCAATCCGACTACTTAAAGGATTAAAGCTAACTAACAGGACGCCCTCGGTAAGGCAGATCTTCAAGGTCTCCACGGCAAGGTTCAAATCTCCGGGTATCAATTTTTATACGGCAGGGTTGAGAGTTTTTCTCCGGGTACTCTTAACCATATTCTGGAGACTGCTACTAAATTCGCGGAGTGCTTAGAATATTTTCTTCGTCTACAAAATCAGTTTTTTGTTTCTTTTTACTTCAATAATTTGAGACTAGGAGTTTTATGTTTTATGTTGGGAGTTTAGGGAGTGATTTAACCAATCCAGAAAGAGGAGTCCAGAAAGTCTTTTTTGTCAGATTGAGCAGAGGGAGTGATTGGAGGGAGTTGATGGGAGTGCATGGAGGGGGAGTGGGTCTATTTATCTTGTGGGGAGTGGAGGGTGTGGGTCTATTTATCCTGTGGGGAGTGGAGGGAGGGGGAGTGGGGTTTCCCTCCATTAGTTAGAGACATCGCTGTACTGACTGTTGCATCAACAGGCTCCATCTGTCCGCTGTAATACCTCTCTGAAACAGATAAATAGATAGATAGCTAGCTAGAAATATAGATAGATTGATGGATGGATAGGTAGATAGATAGATAGATAGATATTTTTTCTAAAATGTTGAATTAAAGTTGAAAGCCGGGCGTGGGCCCATGTATTATCTATAATTTGATTAGGAAATAATAGAATTTTAATTTTAACTATCAGATATTATAGATAATCATTAATTTTATGAATAGCGAATTTAGAAAAATGTATGAAATGTTTGACCTTCAATAAACCAATAATTAAACGAAATTAAAAAGTTTTTTATTAAAATCCAAATTAAAAATGTTAATTTTCTGGGTGATTTCTGTCCAACTTTAATTTGGAAAAACTGGAAAATTTCAGCTCATTTACATAAATCAGAAATTTTCGGGAAATCGATTTTGATCAGATTTTTTTTCTTATTTGCATTTGTTGGTTTGATTTGCATATTTTCTGACCGCAAAGTCCCCCCGGCAAATTCTTGCCAATTATTTGCATTCATTTAAAATGATAAAATAAATTGCATGAATTAAAAGAGGAGCAAGAAGAGGGTCGATTAGTTTAATTAGTGGATTAACTGGTTTCAGACAAAGTAAACTTTTCATTTAAATCATAGAAGGGAGGGTCCGGACCCCCTTTCTTTCTTTCCTTACAGGCTATTGAGTCAGCCTTGAAACGCTGTAAATGTTCACACTGTTTTGCTGGGACGAAATACCGTTTAGATTTCAATACTCTCCGCGGTAATTTCCCTTTGCATAGAAAATACGCAACTTTTTCCAAGTTTAATCTTGCGAAGTTTCAGGTTTACAAGGGAGACAATAGCTGCTGTAGATTCTAATAATTCAAAACATGAAAACCAGGGTTCGCCCACGCTGGGGCAGGGCTCTCAGTAGGCTGCTATTTAGCCATATTAATATTTATATGAATGAATACAGCTGCGCCACAAAACATCTGATAAGATCTTCAAAGTTTAAAGAAAAAAAGAGAAATCGACATAAAAATTAAAAGTGAACATTGGCGAATCAAATTATAAGAATTTTAAAAACACTTACTGTATCCGGACCCGGGGATCATAGAGTGATGATCCGGTGGTCCAGGGGGAGTGTAGGAGTTGCAATAATATCCCGGATTCTCCAGCTTGATAGAGTTGAAACTACCGCTCATGTGGGACCCACCGGCCATAATCGAAGCTGAATATTCTTTATGATAGTTTTTCACGCATGTTCTTTTGAGAGACAGTTCGCGAGAATAGATTTTAGGTTCTCGGTGTAAACTTTTTATTAAACAATAAGAACAAATCTTTTTAGAGCGAACTGTCGTTTAAAAAATAAAATAAAGGTTAAAAAATTCTCACCTTTTGTAAATTTCCAGAGTTCCTTGGCTGTAAATACACCAGAAGCTGCGATTACGTCATTGCAGATAACTCCATTGTACGGATTGTGAGGGAAACCTGAAAAATCAAAAATTAAATTGCTTATAACTTATATTCAATCTATCTGTATCCTATTCCGGAGAAACACGACCGACTCTTGAAACCAGTAAATCTACGAAAACTGCAGTTGGCAGATTTGAGGGTCAAATAGTTGGTGCCCCCGACCTTGAGAGAGTTGCTGTATATTGGCAAGGAGCCCTCCCTGGTCTACCCTGGCCAACTATATCAACAGTTGCAGCTGTAAGGGCAAGGTGGAGAACTGCGAGCCAAGTAGGCCTTGGCAGCTGAAACCTCATCCGCACTCATAACTCCAATACACTGCTCTTGGCACCAGACACAAAATTTCACTAAATTGGAAATCTGAAATGAATAGACATGAGATCGGGAGAAAGCCACACAGGAGTGTCCAGACTTGAATACACCCAGAGCAGCAGGAAACTTTTGAAGGAACAAGATGATAATGTTCCTAAAGAGTGTACTCCACAAGGGTTTAACTAACCCCTTTCTTAGATCATTATTAATCACGTCTCTCGTTAATCGACGTCCAGAAATACGTAGAAGCTCTAATCTCTATAGCTGAGCTTAATCTCAACCAAAAAGTTTCAAATTCAATCACGTTGAACTAAACCTTTATAAAGTTTTCTTAAACTTCTAAAACATTTCTTAATCTCATGAGCAAAAAAAACTGTATTTTTTAATTTAAATGACTAAACCAGAAGAAGTGAGTTTTAGTAAACCCTGGATATGAAATTTAACCGTTATAATTGCGCAAAGTCGTAGTGGTTTATATTTCTCACCTTTAAGGTTTAGAGCGTGCCCATCTTCATCTTTCTCAGATTCACAAAGTTGGTCTAAACACAGACATTTTTCTATCATGCCATTGAGATAGGTCAGATTATGGTAAATATTGAATTAATTGTTTTCATTTTGCATTTTATCCGAGATAACACATCTACAAACATTCAATAGGATAGATTAAAATAACTTTGAAGAATAATGTTTTATTTGTTAAAGAGAAAAGCAATCTAATTTGTAATCTATTACTATTCTGTTATTAATATATTATCCAAAAATATCTTAGATAAATTACCATGAGAGTTAACGTAGTTAGCCAGAAATAGATCCAGTTCTCTGACGGAGACGTTTATATGGTACGGGTTGACACAAAGGGACGGATGGAGACAATCCGGAGATTTCTCCAACCTTTCTCCATCCGTACTCTCCAGTGGTACTGCCTTAAACAGGATCACTTGAACCAGGTCCAGTCGCCAAACCTGAAAAAAAATCGTTTTTATAAATTTAAAATTCGTCAATTAATTGATTTTTATTCCTGAATGCAATTATTGATTAATAATACTTCATTATGATCGATTAAATGGTAATTTATGAAAAATGTCCAGCAATTATTCATGTAGTAACTGGAGCATGCTAATTGCTATTTCTCCATGGTTTTTGAATCTATGATCTAGGTTTAATTAAGGGTTTTCTAACTGATAATTATCTATCTCCGTGAAAAGCCCGCGACCCTTCTTAATTGTCAGATTTTGATTGACGGATTTTCTAGATTTAAATATGGAAATTTCAGGCTTTTTCTGTCTTTCATTTTCAAAGCTTTAATACTAATACCACTCCATTTTTTCTTCAGTTTTATTCCATATCACGAGACAATTTTCATTCTGAAGTCCTCTAAAATCTAAAAAGTCTGATTGAAGCCCCCCCCCATCCCACTCTCCTCTGGCTAGGTATATAAACCTTCACTCCTGATAGCCCTCCCCGACTCCTGTCTCATGGATTCATAAAATCCGGGAGTTTTCCGTCAAGATTCAAAATTTTCCCGGGATAATTTGACAGGGGTCAGGTCGGTAGTGAATGGGGGCAAATCCACTCAATATAGATGGAAAAATGGAACGGACATTTTTTCAATATTTCAATATGCAAATTGTAACCTTATTCATAGGCTAGTTTGGTAACGGGGAGGAGGGGGGGGGGGGGTGATAAAAAATCTAAACAAAAATACATTTTTTAAAGCGTTGAATAAACTGGATTAATGGTATGCAGACAAGAGGTTCCCTGCCGGGAGACATTGTTCAACAATTCGACAAAAACTATGTTTTTAAACTGGATCCAGGTTCAATGGTAAACATGGAGTAGAAGGGATTGGAGCTTGTAACTTATGGATAGACAAGACTAATCTAAATCGGATTTAATGAGCTAAACTAGTTCTCACCTCTGTCATTTAAACCATTCAAAACTTATCAACAGTTTTCGGTGTAAAAATGCTTGCATTTGATAGATTAACTTTGCTTTATAATGAGGAGAATCAGAGGAAATCCTAAGTTTGGAGGAAGTATTGTAAAATCGGAGGAAACCAAGTTCTAATCGAAGGGAAAACCTGGTTCGGAGAGGAAAACATAGTTTTGGGAAGAAATTTCTGAAGGTTGGTTTAAGGTTCAGTTTAAGCAACAAAAAGCCCGGCAAGAGCTTCTTTTAACTCTGGAATAATTTTGTTAAATAGGCACGGTTCATAGTTTAGACTTCGCTAATTAATCATGCTTAACCATACACTGCTCCCCACTACTCTCTCTCTCTCTCTCTCTCTCTCAGTCTCAGACTGTACTTGGAGTAAAAACTTCCTTTCTTATTTTGGTTCAAACTGAAACCATATCCGGAGAATCCGATCGTTTCCTCCGGGTTTATGACACTCAACCTTCTCGTAACGACAGGTCAATCACGTTCTCAGGGTTCTCATAAAGATCCAGGATAAAAGGTTTAGAAAAGAAAAAGAGGGGGGAATAATTTCTAAGTTTCAATATTATGTTAAAATTTTTACCTTATCCGCCTGCCGGAGACAGTCTATCCTTCTCATCTTCCCTTTCTGATCCGGGTTGGATAGAACACACATTGCTGGTTTCTTTCCTGTTATGGAGAGAACAAAATCTTCCCGGCATTCCTGAGCAATATCTTTCCGTAGTTTTCCAAGTAATCTACTCGCCCACTTCTGCTTAACCTCAAGCTTCTCCGCGATGAGCTCCTCCTTGCACCTTCTCTCCTCCTCCAAGGACATCCTCTTCTCATGCTTCTTGAAGTACTTCCTCTTGGCAGCCTGGAGGTTGAACCAGGTGTATGCAAATGTTTTCACGTGAGGAAGAAGAGCTTCTATAAACGGATGAAACTCATCCTAAAACATAAGATAATGAATAGGTATGAAAGTTATGGATATTTATATCATATAGAATTAGCATAACTTAGAGATAACTAAGGAAAGATAAAAGGTAAATTTTACAAATACCCTACTCCGAGTAAAAATGGAAATACAGATAAGGACGGATTACTCCGAATGTATTTTTAAATGTAAACCAGGACGAATGACTCCTGGTACATCGTAAGATACAGAGAACAATTTTCTAGACTGTCACACAGTGATTATCAGTACATGTGACAATTCAAACGAGGACGGATTACTCCGGGTTTATATTTGTGTATACACCTGAACTTATGACTCTGGGTATATATTTAGATACAGAGAAAGGTATTTAAGAAGAACCGTTCATCTTGACTTGAATCAATCAGAGTTCTAGCACCTCAACTAGAAACATCAATCATTACATATCAAATATGGAATCTACCCCCCCCCCCATCCCATTCACGTATCTATCTATCTACTCATCTGTCCCGCTACCCACCTACAAATTTTAATATGTAAATACGTGGAGATATGCAACGATAAGTCTAACAAAGAAAGTTCGAGAACTTTTTTAAATGGTAAAATTAAAGATGTTGGAGTTGTTGAACCATTTGGGTTTCAATAAATCTCACAGAATTGATTTGTATCAAATGTGATTTTTATTTACTGAAAACTAGTATAACTTTGTGACCTCGTAGTTTCTCTAGTATTGATTTTAAGCAAAAGTATGTAAAAGCTAATCTATTTGGCTACATTTTAGATAATCATAACATATTTGTTCTCCTCTAGAGCTTTAAAAAAAGGAGTTAATATTGAAAACAGACAAGATTTTAATCTAACTTTACTTTACTTTAGTTTGAGTTGACGTGTATTTTTGTATATCTTCCACTGTCAAACTATCTTTCTATCTATCTGATGAGAAAATAAAAGCCAGGGTTCACACCTCTCTCCCTGGTTTTGATCTGTTTGAGTAAGAAATATCAATCACAAGTCTATACATATCTAAACCTTATACAGGCACGCATCATGCGATCAAATTCAGGTAAAAACTCTTTCAATAATAATCAAGTCATTGAAAGGTTTGGGTTTAGATGAGCGCGGGTGGTTTCTCATCTGATGGATCATCTCCGGGTCCAACATCTATCACTGGAGCAAGAACTAAACCTGGGTGAAGAATGAGACGGGTTGGGTTTTTCAGGGTAAGAGTTAGAGCTTGGAATGCATTAAATAATTTAGCATCTATGTGAGCAGAGCTTAGGCTACAATTATACATATTGGAAATGCTCGGGGTTTGGTTAAGATCAGATTCTGAAAAAGATAAAGAGTTGGTTCCTGACAGAAGATAATATAGTGCTCTCCAGCTTCTTGTTTCTAAACTTGTTACGAGAAAACTTGTACAACTTATTATTCTCAACTTCTCAAGTGATATCTTATCCTAAGCTTTAGAAAAACAGAAAAGAGACTAATTTTAATCTTAAAGGGACTGTAAGTCGCAGTTTCTCTTTAAAACTTTTTAAATCTGACTTGCGGATTTCTTAGTACGAGTAATAAATAAACCCTTTTTAAGGTAGAAAACCGAGAATATCTTCAACAGTATTGATCAGATTATGGTTTAAAGGAATGGAGGTAGACTTGAAATTGATATCTATTTTCCCTTTAAGTTGAGATTTTCCAACGATGAGCCATAAACCTATATATATGTATAAATAAAAGTACATAACAAAACCAATTTTTTGTTTTATAATTTTTTAGTTTTTTAGTTTGTGTTTTTAAAATGGGATGATAATTGGATACATTATGTTCCATCTGTTATGTATATATATCTCTGAGAAATATATGGTTTTAAAGATATTCTTGTTTAGATTTCAAATTAGATTTGATATTTGTCAGGCAATACATAGATTAGAAACAATTGGATCTGTGTCTACCTGCACCTGTCTACCCAGAAGGTGGCGAAAAATACGATGAAAAAAAAATTTCATAGTCCCAAATATTGATGAAGAATCCCTACTACGTATGGATAAAAATACATTTTGTCAATGAATTGATGAAAGAAAAGTTTAAAATGTTTTTTTTTGCGAAACCAGTAGCCCACAACTCTCTTCATTTTTTTGTTTACCAGTGTGTGAAATTGATTTCATATTCATTATTAAAGCTAAAAGAACGGATATTTAAGATTTTCTCCGAAGTTTGAACAATTAATGATAGTTTACTTCTTAGTAAACGAATGATGATAATAATGGGTAATAATGATTTACTCCGGAGTAAGGACGGGTAAGAATAGTTTACTCCGGAGGAAGGACGGATAAGAATAGTTTACTCCGGAGCAAGGACGGGTAAGAATAGTTTACTCCGGAGCAAGGACGGGTAAAAATAGTTTACTCCGGAGTAAGGACGGATAAGAATAGTTTAATCTTGAGCAGGGACTGATAAGAATAGTTTACTCCGGAGCATGGATGGATAAGAATAGTTTACTCCGGAGCAAGAAAGGATAAGAATAGTTTACTCCGGAGCAAGGACGGATGAGAATAGTTTACTCAAGAGCAAGGACGGATAAGAATAGTTTACTTCGGAGTAAGGACGGATAAGAATAGTTTACTCCGGAGCAAGGACGGATAAGAATAGTCTACTCCGGAGTAAGACGGGAAAATAATAGTTTACTCCGGAGCAAAGACGGATAAGAATAGTTTACTCCGGCGCAAGAAAGGATAAGAATAGTTTACTCCGGAGCAAGGACGGATAAGAATAGTTTACTCCGGAGCAAGGACGGATAAGAATAGTTTACTCCGGAGCAAGAAAGGATAAGAATAGTTTACTCTGGAGCAAGGACGGATAAGAAAAGTTTACTCAAGAGCAAGGACGGATAAGAATAGTTTACTCCGAGCAAGGACGGATAAGAATAGTTTACTCCAGAGTAAGTACGGATAAAAATAGTTTACTCCGGAGTAAGGACGGATAAAAATAATTTACTCCGCGTGCATGGTTTCACTTGAATTCCCGTCCTATCTCTAATTATCCGTCCTTCGGATTCCATGATTTAAATAAACGCTGAAAAAGAGTGAAAACTGATAATAACCTTATTAGAACCCACCCAGGCCAGACTATTTTAATTGAATACCGACCGGATAGAGAAAACAGGAGCAAAAAAAACGATGCACCAAGGTTGTCTTGATCAAACTGAACCCAATAAAATGATAATGTATTGTCGGAATAAAAAGTCCGAATTTTAATGAATTTCAATGAATGGGTCCGAGTAAATATTTGTGGCCCGTTACATGAGGTACAAACAGGCCCTGTCTTCTAAAGACGGATTATGATAGAAAACTTGCAGAGAAAAACTGCCTTACTCACACTAGGTATGTTCGATAGATGGATAGATTGGTTGCTAGGTGTGTTCGAATCATCTACGCTTAAATTGTCCAATTATAAATTAAAAATTGTGTTGCTTGGTTTAACTAAAAAAAAACATAAAAACCTCAACTTTTCAAGTCATAATATTTTAACTACAAAAATTAATAATTCATATTGAAATCAATTCTACGTGTTCATAATTTAAATTTATAATTTTGTTTGTTTTAGCATATTTTTCTGCTGAAGCCATGTCTTCACAGTGGTGTAATTTACAAAAAAAGAGGGGTCGCAAAGAAAAATGTAAAAAAATCAAATCTTAACCGATATTCATATCCCCTCACAAGAAAATCCCTGAAAATCACACGATATAATTTTGAAATCCCTGAAAATTTAAAATTATTCAAAATTTTGCATCAATGTTTACGTGTAATTATATTTCATCGTCTCATCAATATTTATAAATTCAGCAGTGAGAAAACAAGAAAAATATAAACATAAAGAAATATATTTTTATAAATATCCAAAAATTGTGATTTATTTGTGAGAAAAATTATGTAATATTTTTTCGTAACGATTGTAACGAGCTTGAATGTATTATTTGAGCACGTGACATAAAATGAATGAAAAATGAAAAAAAGAAATTCAAGTATTGAAATTATTAAAGTTTTCAGCCTATAAGAATTTCATGTTTAAATTGACTGTATGGATTAAATTATAGACTTTCAAAGATGAGAATTCGAAATGAAATCAGGATTTTTTTAAAAATTTGCAATCCGTAGGATATAATTATCTTTGGGGCGTTTTATTACTTTCAAATCTTACAAATTACCCCCCAAAAATTTCTAGTTTGAAAACTAGGAAATGTTTACATGGTTCTATTTATCATAGTTTTACATAGTTTTGTAAACAAACATGGCACAGGCCCTAAGACAGATAGCTCGTGTCAATTTTTTGGGTTTCTAATGCATAACACCTTGACTATTTTAGCATATTTATGTTAACACAAAGTTGACGCGTTAAAAAAGTTTAAACGCGGCAAAACTTGCAAAGTGCGCGCGTGCATATTTTTGCCAAATGTTTAGGTGTTTGGTCTGTGTTTGTGTGTGTGTGTGAGAGTTCCTGGAATATATATTTCTATTCCCTAAGTATTAGATAAATGGATGTAGAATTTGTCAAAAGCACGCCAGCGTCATCTATCATTGATTCGTTGCACTAACATCACCAGAGAGTCAATAACAAATATATAAATTTTATAAATATTTTTAAGACTATTTTCTTTAGTTCTGTAATTTATCGTTTTAGTCCAGTCCACACATCAGGGTGTTAAATGATTTTATTAAGGAACTAATACTCAAACTCCTATATCTTAGAAACCTGATGGTGTTAAACTTTTGCAATCAGAGGTTGAATTATCAAAGGTTCAATTTGCAAAAATATAAGGGATCAAGATTAGGAGAGTAAAAAAGATCTAGAATATGTAATTAAGCGTTTTTAGTAAACTTAACTCAAAGTTGTAAAAACGTCTTGGAATACAAAACTTTAAATAGCTGAATGTATTATGAGCGTACAAAAGAATTATAGTTTATCCGGCCTTTCTTGAAAAACCCCCTCCCCCTGAGCAGTGAACAAGGACACCCCCCCCCCCACTCCTCTCTAAAAAATGCTCGAACCACCAGGCAATCCCAGAACTCGTGATCTCGACGCGTACTGTTATGACGGATACTAATGGACAGAATATCGAATTAAGTTTTTGCGTTTAACACTACCAGGGCTGAACATTCTTCCACTTTCAGTTTATAAAATCCTTTTCAAATCATTTATTTTGAAAACAGGAATGGAAATAAGATTTTGGAGAGCTTGAGATTCAACCCTGAATCCGGTTGTGGGTTCTGAGTACTCAACAAATTTGTCTTACATTTAGATGGAATCGTTCCGTCGCTAAATAGAACTGTTCGACCTCTAGCATCCGAACCAGAGATATTTTAATCAATTTCTTCACTTTTTTTACCACAAAATTGTCTTGATCAGTTAGAAAAAAGTTCCTATTTCAGGCATGTATGGAAACATATTTTTTTAGTATGAAAAGCTAAATTTGAAAAATTGAAAATATTGCGTATTTTCACACCTGTTTTAGCTTTCAGAACGATCTATTGTGTAAAATCATACGAATCAGTGTCCTGTGGCCGGCTGATTAGAGTTCTACGGCCGGCTGATTTCTTGATGGATTGACGAAAAATATTCATAAAATTTACAAATAAATGGAATTTGATTTTAATCCTGTGATGGGAATTTAAAGTAACAAAAATAATTTTCTCTTTGAGTCCCCCCCATGAGCCCCCCCCCCAGCGAGAAATGGTTATTAGATATTGATCTGATTTCACTCTTTTCTTTATCGGCCTGAAATACTTAAGGTCTATTAAGGCCCGGGTTGGGTCCTGAATAGTTTATAAAATGGCGGTCTATCCGATCTATTTAGCGGTGTAATATACTGCTAGTGAGACAACCTCATATTAAAAGTGAAATATCAATTCATAAATTCTACCCCCTTCAAACTAACAACTTTAGCCAGGCAATGTCCGCCATTCATTCCCTTATATGGTCCAATTTACAAAATATTTCCTTGTTTATCAAATTGTAAACAAATAAAACCGGTATTTTATGTACAAATATATGGCGGGGGAAAAATGGCGTATGTCATATCTGGCCGTTTCTAAAATCACCATTTTAAATAGACGTTCATCCATTTTGAAACTGATCTTGGACGAGAATCAGAATTTAAATTTTGTGAATTTGTATTTTATGGAGGGAAAGATATCTTTATATCCTGGTTTCCGGTTGAGTTGAAACCCCAAACTACGGGAATATGAGAGTAAGTAAAAGTTTAGTAGGTTGGACCCTTGCCAGATAAATATTAATGCAAACCCAACCTAACCTTTAGGGTTTTATATACCAGCTTTTTCCTATCTCATCATACCTATCATATTCTATTCCGTCACAGTATATCCTATTATCCAACGTCATATTTTATTATTCTATAAGTTATCCTATTTTATCCCATTTGTCTTATTAAGTCATATTCTGTTTTTTTTTGTCATTTTTTGTTATTTTCTATTCTTTTTTACCTTATTCTATCCTATTCTGTCCTTCTCTATCCAATTCTGTCCTTCTCTATCCTATTCTATCATATTCTATCCTATTCTATCATTCTTTCCTGTCCATTCCTTAACAATACCGTCCTGGCTTAACCTATTCCGTCTATTTTCTCCCGTCATCTTCTCTTTCTTGTCCTAACTTATCCTAACTTATCAAATCCTGTTATATCCTAAATTATCCTATCCTGTTATATCCTAAGTTATCCTAACCTGTTATATCCTAAATTATCAAATCCTGTTATATCCTAGCTTATCCTATCCTGTTATATCCTAATTTATCCTATCCTGCTATATCCTAAATTATCCTATCCTGTTATATCCTAAATTATCAAATCCTGTTTTATCCTAACTTATCCTATCCTGTTATATCCTAACTTATCCTATCCTGTTATATCCTAAATTATCAAATCGTCTACAATCTTGTCCGTCCCTACTCATGTAGAAGGTTTAATAGAGTCTCTGTCCGTCCCTGCTCATGTAGCGAGTTTTATTAGTATCCTACATCCGTCCGTCCCATCTAATCCCTAAAATATTCTAAAACTTGCAAATACTGTCAACATAAAAATAAATGTCCGAGCCTCTCGGATTTTTATTGGAAATTGATAAGGTTATTGATATATTTAGCACTCAATAACCTTCACAAAAACTTTAAAAATGGACTCCACTCTCCTTTTCAATTTTTGGGAACAAAACATTTCTGCTAATCTATATCTAAACACTGATATTATCCGCTGGGTTGATTTTTAGAATGATTTATAATAAATCAATATAAAAAGTTAATATGACGCTTGATCTAAATAAGTTTTACTTTTTGCACGCAATATTTATTACTTTAAATCATATTCTATTTCATAATTTGTTAGCAAATAATAGCTATTCTTAATTTTAAAATGTTGTTCCAAAATTTTTCATAATCTTCCCTTGGACGGCGCATGTCACAACTTATCTGCCCTTCTCTAGCTCTTACTACAATCTAGCAAACCTTTGTTTACAATGAAGGTTTTTTGTTNTGGTCCCTAGCACGAACATAACATTCATCATTCACACTTCACTGATAAACTTAATGCAAAAACCATTAATAAACCATCTCAGGGAGAAGACAACACGGAGAATAATAGATCCAATGTGTTCCCGTCATAATATTGTACAGGTGCACAAAAAACCGGTTTTAGGGTTAACCCACAGTAAAACCAGTTCCAGGGTTAACCTAAGCTATAAAACCAGTTCCAGAACTTACTGTAAACCAGTTCCGGGGTTTACTTACTGTCAAACCAGTTCCAGGGTTGACTTACTGTAAAACAAGTTCCAGGGTTAACCTACAGTAAAACTAGTTCCAGGGTTAACTTACTGTAAATCCAGTTCCAGGTTTAACTTGTTTTAAAACAAGCTCCATAGATGACTTTTTGTAAAACCAGTTCAAGGGTTGACTTAATTAAAATAATTTCCAGGGTTAACTTACTGTAAAACCAGTTCCAGGGTTATCTTACTGTAAAACCAGTTCCAGGGTTAACCTACTGTAAAACCAGTGCCACGGTTAACTTACTGTAAACCCAGTTTCAGGGTTAACTTACTGTAAAACCAGTTCCAGGGTTAACCTACTTTAAAACCAGTTCCATGGATGACTTATTGTAAAACCCGTTCCAGGGTTGACTTATTGTAAAACCAGTTCCAGGGTTATCTTACTGTAAAACCAGTTCCAGGGTTAACCTACTGTAAAACCAGTTCCATGGATGACTTATTGTAAAACCCGTTCCAGGATTGACTTATTGTAAAACCAATTCCAGGGTTATCTTACTGTAAAACCAGTTCCATGCTTAACTTACTGTAAAACCATTTCCATGGTTAGCCTACTGTAAAACCAGTTCCAGGGTTAACTTACTGCAAAACTGGTTCCAGGGTTAACTTACTGTAAAACCAGTTTGAAAAATTGACATACTATTGGTTATGAATTGTACTCTGTGAAAGTACTAGGTTTGTTAACCTTCGATTGAAATGCAGTTATTTTTATACGAATTATCAGGTTTTCTTAAACTCATTAAGATATTCCACTCCTGCTATTCTACCCACCCGGAGTTGGAACTAATGAGCTAAACCTTGATGACATCTCTTCTTCGAGATGGTTTACACCCAAACTTATCAATAATAAAAACATGCTCAATTATCACGCAATGGTTCAGCTTGAATTAATCTCAGATCCAGAGTTTTGTTAAATATTTTATAACATGTCATTTTATATTTTTTTTAACCAAAGAAAATGCGGGAAATTTTCCAAATATATGAGAACGCTTAAGCAAAAGATTTTAAAGAAAATATCAAATATCAGTGTCTCCAAATTTAAGGGTTAAAATGACAGGAATGTTGCAGTTTATGAAGAATTAAACTACTTCACGCTAAAACTCTAATTTATTGTACTTAAATAAGTGTGCGGAACTGCTATATGTCCAGAAGCTAAGTACATTTATAATCTATTATTTCCAGCCTGGTATAAGACAGACCCAGAGAAATTTTGTTCTTACAGACCATACTTGAAACATCCCTGGTTGGAAATACTTATCCGGAGAACCCCAGTACTAGAATATGGACTTGGAGAAACACAGACGTGAAGAATATAGACTCCGAGAACTTCTCTTCATCATAAATTCTAGCTCTTTAAATCAGAGAACCCCTGTATACTGTATATCAGACCCAGATAATCCTTGTACTAGAAAGCTAACCCGGAGAAATGTTGTACCTGACTTGTGTTTTTCCAATCCATGGTGTTAATTGCAGGACCCGGATACATATCCATCAGGTTGTGGTGATGGTATCCCATCATTCCTCCTCCTCCTTCGTGAAACTTCATGCCTTGACAAGAATATCTTCGTTAAATAAAGGATTGGAGATAAATAAAGGATTGGAGATAAATAAAGGATTGAAGATAAATAAAGGATTGGAGATAAATAAAGGATCGGTGATAAATAAAGGATCGGAGATAAATAAAGGATCGGTGATAAATAAAGGATCGGAGATAAATAAAGGATCGGAGATAGATAAAGAATTGGAGATAAATAAAGGATTGGAGATAAATAAAGTATTGGAGATAAATAAAGGATTATAGAAGTATAATTTTTTATATATAATATAATTTATTTAATTAAAAATCATGTAAACAAAGGTGAAAGAGAAAAGGATAAGATGAGAGTTTGGAAAATAAATGAACAAGGATAAAGCTGTCAGATCAAAAGAAAGGAAAAATTAAAGAACTAGAAGAGCTAAGAGAACTAGAAGAAATAGGAGAACTTCGAGAACTACAAGAACTAGAAAAACAGAATTAGGAAAACTTGAAGAACTAGGAGAACTAGGATAACTAGGAGAACCAGGAGATAAATAGGGGAACTAGGAGAACTAGGAGAACTAGGGGAGCTAGGAGAATTACGAGAATTACGAGAACTAAGAGAACTAAGAGAACTAGGAGAACTAGGGGAGCGAGGAGAACTAGGGGAGCGAGGAGAACTAGGAGAACTAGGAGAACTAAAAGAACTAGGAGAAATAGGAGATCTATAAGAACTTGGGGAGCTAGGAGAATTACGAGAATTACGAGAACTAAGAGAACTAGGAGAACTAGGAGAACTAGGGGAGCTAGGAGAACTAGGGGAGCTAGGAGAACTAGGAGAACTAGGAAAACTAGGAGAATTAGGAAAAATTGAGGAACAAGGAAAACTAAGAGAACTAGTAGAACTAGGAGAACTAAGAGAACTGGGAGAACTAGGAAAACAGAACTAGGAAAACTTAAACTAGGATAACTAGAAGAACTAGGAGAAGTAGGAGAACTAAGAGAACTAGGAGAACTAGGAACAACTTAAAGAGCTAACAGAACTAAGAGAACTAACAGAACTAGGAGAAATAAGAGAACTAGGAACAACTTAAAGAACTAGGAGAACTAAGAAAACTTAAAGAACTAGATGAACAGAACTAGGAAAATTGAAAGAACTAGATGAACCAGGAGAAATAGAAGAAATATGAAAACTAAATATGAGAACTAAGATAACTAAGAGAACTAGGAATCTAGGAAAACTATGTGAACTAGGAAATCTAAGAGAGCTAAGAAAGCTTGGAGAACTAGCAGAATTATGACAACTAGAGAAAATAGAAGAACTAGGAGGAACTAGGAGAACTATGAGAAAACACGAAAACATTAGGTAAAAATGTGAAAAAAATGTTGAGACCATTCTTATTAGAAAAGTATAAAAAATTAAAGCAATATTTTATTAAAAGTATATATTTATAGCAGCGGAAATGGTTCTGGTTCGATTCCTTCTATTCTTACTTTTGATCAATTAGATTCATAATAAATTGTAATTCTAAACTTATAATTACACTTTTTACGTCATGGAGAAAGGACTTAGTAGAGAAAGAAACAGGTGTTTAGCATGAGAAAATTAATAAATAACACGAGCAGATTAAAACAGTTTTGGCGGAGTTTTGCAATAAACGTTGTAAAAATTTCTGTGGATTTTTTTCGAAGATATTTCGAAGATATCTTTCCTATTCCTGGGTGTTGGACTCCCACCCCTGGGTGGGGATGGTACCCGCCCCACCCCGCGATGTTGCCGACTATCCCACCCGTGGGCGGAGTACTTTTCAATCCGAGATCCGACCCTGGGTTCAGCTCAACATACTAATCGAAATCCAGCACTTTAATTCCAGTCCTGAGCAAAATTTCAATCCTAAATAATGCTCATTTGTAAGAATGTGTATCTCTAAGTAGGTTGTATCCAGATGTATCTATGTTTTCATGGTATCCAGGACGGATCGTGTATCAGGGTTGTGTCACGAACCACGTTTCAACCACTACTGACGGTTTGGTCAACGGAGAAAGGATGAGTGGATAAAAGCGTGAGGCTAGAGCGGTGTTAGGAGAACCAACCCGGAGCCCGGGGGGTCTTACCGCCAGGACGGATTGGAGATCTTTGGCGGCAAACTGTCCTGACATGTCCTTTTACCCCGCCCCGCCTTACTATTGGGTAGAAAATTATCTAATCCCAATTTCTTTGCAAAAAGATGGTGTTAACCTTTGATATATGTTTCAACTTAAATTATTTGATCTAACATAATTCATAGTTTGAAATAACTATGGTCTACGTCATTTGGTTGAAAAGATATAGGGATTAGAAAATTAGGGATTGTGGCAAACATTCAAATTCTTTTAGATATATGTATTTTTCTTGAGTAAACTGATTTGGGCAGAAACAGGTTCCAACCTTATTTTTAATTCGCCAGAACTAGACTAGTATTGATTCTGGAACCAATGTTTGTATGATGAGTCTGAATGAGGCACCCTGAGCTAAGATATTTGTCTCTGGCTTCAATCCAAGTTTGAGTAGATCCGGGCCAGGAGTTTATCAGGGTGTCCCGGAGAACACAGGGTTCGGACCAGGAGTTTATCAGGGTGTCCCGGGACACAAGTTTAGGGTTCGGGCCAGGAGTTTATTAGGGTGTCCCGCAGAACACAGGGTTCGGACCAGGAGTTTATCAGGGTGTCCCGGAGAACACAGGGTTCGGACCATGAGTTTATCAGGGTGTCGCAGAGAACACAGGGTTCGGACCAGGAGTTTATCAGGGTGTCCCGGAGAACAAAGGGTTCGAACCAGGAGTTTATCAGGGTGTCGCAGAGAACACAAGGTTCGGACCATGAGTTTATCAGGGTGTCCTGGGATACACAGGGTTCGGACCATGAGTTTATCAGGTTGTCGCAGAGAACACAGGGTTCGGACCAGGAGTTTATCAGGGTGTCCCGGAGAACAAAGGGTTCGAACCAGGAGTTTATCAGGGTGTCGCGGAGAACACAAGGTTCGGACCATGAGTTTATCAGGGTGTCCTGGGATACACAGGGTTCGGACCAGGATTCTCATATAAACAGAGAAACTAACAAATCAATTCATAATAAATAAATGTATCTTTCAAACAATCGATGAGACTGTTATTGTCGTAATTTCAACTTACCCTACATTTTAGAAGTGCCATGCCCGATTCACATAAATACCCTTTGGACCTCTATCTGATCAACATTGTGGAAGATAACATGGTTTTTATACTTTGAAAAGTGTTTAATTCCCACGATCTTCACCATTGTTAAAGCAAGAAATCCTCAAGTCACTAATATGCAGAACCCATAATTGAAATAGCAAAATAATTGAGTTTTTGCCGCACACTCAAATGTTCTTATTCCTATATCTATAAAACCTTACTGTGTAAACCTATGATATTTCAAACTTAGATTATTTTATCCAACAGAATTCATAGTTTGAAATATCAAAGGTCTATGACATTGGGTTGCAAAGATAAAGGGATTAAAAAATCAGAGTTTGTGGCAAAGACTCAAATCCCTTATTTAAGAAAAATCTCATTTATTCTTGATTAGACCAATTTTACACACTTGAACTTTTTTTATGAAGAATTCTTTAATCTTCTTGGATATTAGGCTTATTTCTTTCTATCCAATGATTTTCATAAAGAGCATGATATTCCAATGATATGCGTAAAAAGAATGATATTCCAATGATATGCGTAAAGAGAATGATATTCCAATGATATGCGTAAATAGCATAATATTCCAATGATTTGCGTAAAGAGCATAATATTCCAATGATATGCGTAGAGAGCATAATATTCCAATGATATGCGTAAAGAGCATAATATTCCAATGATATTTGAAAATTGCTCAACGTTTTAAAATAAATATACATACTTTGTTGTTCTAATTTTCTCAATCTTACTGCTTTCACTTAAACTTCAGTACAAGATTTTCCCTGGTTTCGATATTTTGAAACACCCTGTCTTATGGAAACTGTCTAGAAACAATAGAGCTAAAGACCTTTGTACAATTATCATATTAAACACAATCAAATAGTTACAAGGAGTTTCAAGAAATACGAGACATGCAGGACAGTTTAATGATTTAGAATACTAGGCTTTTAGGGCGCTTCATGCCCCCTTTTAACTGTTGCTTTGAAAGTTGGCCATTTTTAATCATTCAAAATTTAGACAAATTTTACAATTCGAATTGGCGCATTTTCTAAAATAAAATAAAAATAAAATTCTAACGATAAATCCAAGAATAAATTCACATTCATATTTTTCATATTTTTGTTATTTAATTTTGTGACTCAAAGTTTTGACAATACAATGGTTAATCTCCTGATTCCTGGCATTAACTTATTCCGTTTATTCAAAATATTTTACCTCTGAATAAGTAACACAAATCAAATCACAATCGGCAATCTTCTTTCTTCTCTGGCGCTTCGTATGAAAATTCCCAAAAATTTAACCATTGTTTATTATGCGCAGGGTTTTATTAAATTACGTTCTGCGTGGGACGAAGTTTTGAACAAACGATAATGTATCAACCAGCAAATGATACCTTGTAATAGAAACCATAAAATTAAATCAATCAACGCTTCGCCTCAATCATAGTGTCCGAACCTATTCATACATCAGGGGCCACTGATACACTAGTATTACAGGCCTTCATAGCCAACCCACGGAGTAGAGAGAAATGCTAACATTTTCAAGGTAATTCTAAGTTAGGTTAGAGATATATAAAAAATTAAGACAGAGCAAAACATCTAAAATTCTATTTTATTTTTTAAGCATGGATATATTTATCATAATATATATATAGATATACTTCAGCATATATATTTAGTACGGATACATTTATTGTATCTTAGGACAGTTCTCTACTGTATAGATTAAGGTTCTGCATATAGTTTGGGTTTGTGCCAAATCAACCAACATAATAAAGGATCCAATACAGGGTTTCCTTCTCTTTAAAGGGTTTCTCTATCTATATCACTATATATTCTATTCTATTAATCAGTTTATACAGGGTTTCATTATGTCATGGTTCTTTTTTAATTGCCTGGTACTTTACAGGGTTCCCTGTTTTATATAGAGTTTCCTGGGCATATACAGAGTTTTCTGGAATAAAAATGGTTTCCTGGTTATAATTAGGGTTTCCTGGTTTATGCAGGGTTTCATGTCCTTTAGAGGATTTCTTGATATATACAGAATTTCCTGTTCTATAACTAGGGTTTCCTTATATATACAGGGTTTCCTGTCCTAGAGAGGGTTTCCTGACAGGCTTTCCTGTCCTATACAGGGTTTCCTGATATATACAGGATTTCCAGGTCCTAAACAGTATTTTCTATTCTAATATGGGTGTCTCTTAAAGGTTTCCAGTAGTAAAAGAGATCCTTGTTATGATTTTCTCATACGGATTGTATTCTTCCAGATTTCCAGCAGTTATTTTCCTCTGAAATCCCATGTTTCCATTTAACCCTAATTTATCTTTAGCCAGTTTCTCTTCATATAGGAATTAGAATTCTGAACCGACAAACCTTGGCTTATTGAGTTCTAAGATTGCTAATTGCTTTAACAACCTGGAACTGCATGCATGAGGGTTCATTAAAATCCTGATCACACCCCTCTTTTTCTCCTTTAATTGGCAACCATGGTTGGTTCAAGTTACTAAATCTTGCTACAGATTCCTTGCCAAATATTAGTCCGTCGGGGTTAATAAGCCGGTGACCCGGCGTAAACTCTTCCTTAACTTAAACATCATCTAGACCTCATTCTTCTTCCGGTCATTTTACTCCTTCACACTTTATCCTAAACCTTCACTCATGATCCTGACCCCTTCACACTTTATCCTGAACCTTCACTCTTTATCCTGAACCCTTCACACTTCATCCTGTACCCTTCACACTTCAACCTAAACCTTCCCGAACCTTTACACTTCATCCTGAACCCTTCAAACTTTGTTCTGAACTTTCACACTTCACCCTGAACCTTCACCCTTCATCCTGAACCTTCGCACTTCATCCTGAACCTTTTCCCTTTATCCTGAACCTTAACATTTCATCTTGAACCTTGACACTTCATCCTGAACCTTCACATTTTATCCTGAACCTTTAAACTTTATCTATACCCTTTGTACTCTGTTACAAACCTCTAATTACCTCTAAAAGTTATCCTAAACCTATAAAAATCCTCTAAAACCTTCAAACTTCAGACTTTTCAGAAGTTCTTATCCTCAAAAGTTTATGACTAGACCTGTTAATTTCAAAATTATAAATTTATAATTTCATAAATTATAAATATTTTTAACCTCTAATATGAGATAAAGTGAATCCTAGGTTGAGAAACTAATATTAAACTAGAGTTTACTCCAGGTGTGTCTCTTCACTGTATAAACTTAAACTTCTTTAATCAATCAATCATACAACTGTTTAACTAAGCTTTCAATTCTTAAACACATCAGAATTGATGGGCTGGGCCTAGGCTTGTTTTCTACATATGTATCTACTCATAAACATATTTACAGAAATTTCCATAATGTAGATTTTACACAACAATTCTTATGTATTTAATGTTTTTAGTATTAAAAAATAGCTTACTTGCAGTTTATGTTCTATGTAAACAGTTTCATTTTAAATTGTTGACATACTTTTATAGATTTTTATGTTTTTTTTTTTTAATTTCATCCTTTTCTAATAGACATTCAGACATTTGATAATGTCTAGGGATTGTCTGAATGAGAATAAGGTGGAAAACTTGGCTGCATGTAGCTTGCAGTATGCTAGAAGGGATCCAGAGCAAACTATAGGATCGTTGAACCCTGAATTTTGGCAGGAAGGTTTGTATTGGTTTTCATATCTGTTAGATCCAAGAGCAAGTTCAAGGACAGCTGTAGTGTTTGCCAGTAGGATGGGAGTAGGGTGTAGGTGGGAAGAAAGGAACATGGACTAAATAGGAGTAGAGTTCAGGTAGGTAGTAGGAAGTAGGGAGAGAAGGGAACAGGGAGTAACCAGGAGTA